CGGGCCCGCCCCCGCGTGCTGCCGTCCCCCAACATCACGCGCCCTGCGCTGCGTTCTCCTGGCGCCCCCCCTGCATTGCCCCCCCCCTCCCCCGGTGCCTGGTGCTGCCTTTCCCCTGGCAGGCTCCCTGCACTGCCCGCCCCTGGGTGCCTGCTAAGTGTGAGAGCTGGCACCCTCTTGGGAGGGGTGGGGCCGCACTAGTTTACACACTAGTTTGATGATTATTTTCCCATCTTTGCGGGTGAGACTGTGTGTGTGTTTCCATCCATGTTGTACAAGATTACGGCCTCGCCATTTGAGGCAGGTCATACCAAAGCAGTGCAAACCCTTGGTTAGGTCACTGGAATGCAATTCAAACACTCCTGTTCCTCCCATCCAATGTGGCACAAACAATCCGCCTGTAGTGGACTACTGTGCTCAAGTGCTACCTCAGGATTCCTGAGAGAAATTTGTGACCATCAGCCTTGATTATTACAACTCGTGTTCAGGAAAAAACTACTGAACCTGAGAACTCCTCCATTTGATACAACACTTAGCAACACGGGTCACTATAAACATGTAACTTGTTTTTCCGCTTAAATAGAAACTTGTCTATCCTAATCAAAATTATGGAAGTCAGCAGCTAATTGTCGCTGGCCTCTCTGAGAAATGGCCAGCCCCTGGAGAAATTTTTGAAATCTCTGTCACTTGGTGCATTGGTCCATTGCAAAGATATTATTTATTTGTATTGCGGTAGGTACTAATAGGCCACAGATCAGATCAGAGCCCTTTGGAGCTGGGTGTTTTACATGTGTATAGTATGAGACAGTTCCTGCCTCAAAGAGCTTACACTCTAAAAAGAGAATGGGAGGGGAAACGGAGTCAGTAAACACTAAAGTGATTTCCATAAGGTCACGCAGTACATCAGTTGTAGAACCCAGCTCTTCAGAGTCCCCCTCCAATACATTGGACTAATATTTTAGGGAGCATTTCTGTCCACCCAAAGGATGTAATCTCAGATGGTGCTGATTTAATGGTGTTCCAAAACAGGGACAGGGAAATCAACCCAGTCTTCCCTGGTGTTTAAATTTGAATATGGGAACCCCCTCCACTACCTCCCTATTTGATGGAATAAAATGTTCTCTTTTATCTTGTGTCTCTATGGTAGCTACGTTTTCTCCCATCATCTCTGGTCTCCTCTTTTCTCTCTCATCTTACATCTGAATTCTGGTCTTTTTTTCTCTCATGGGGCTTCTGAGAGTGGGTGTGAATTTCCCATCGCTAACAGTCTTCCCTTCTCTTCAGCTGAACGAGTTAGTGGTGGGAGATACCAATGGGAAACTCTGCGTGTACAAGAATGACGATAGCAAACCCTGGACTGTGCGCTCCTGTCAAGGAATGGTCAGTTGGGACAGAGTTTGACACTTCCATATTCTTTTGAGCCTTTGCCATTTGTTTACTTGGAATGCTGTGTGGGAACAGAATGCCTGCTTCTCTGAAGGCTATCAGGACCAGCCCTGATGCCCTGCACAATTGCATCAGTGATCCTGTTTCTGCCCTCCCCTCCTTCCTCCCTGGGCGAGCAGTGCTGTCCAAAGTGCTGAACAGCCACAGGAGAGAAGATTTTGTTCTCTACCCAATCCTGATCCTTCCCTCCATATGCTGAGGTCCTTGGGCCTGGCTTCTCACTCATTTGCCTTGAGGAGTGAGGTTAGACAGGCCCTCAGCCAATGAGATGCTGATTCTGAGGATGATCCCGAAGGCTGGGAGATCACTAGTGCAGGATTAGCACAATGTGTTTTCCTTTGCTGCTTCCTGTTTTCTGAAGTCCTTTTCTTTTCTTGCAGCTCACCTGTGTCGGTGTTGGGGATGTGTGTAATAGAGGAAAGGTGAGAACATTTGGCTTTTCCCCAGCTACACTCATGCTGGTGGTGGGAGATTGGCTTTTGACATGTGCAGTTGCTTGGGATTATGGCACATTTTAATCTCCAAGGTTTTTCTCCATACATCTCTTCCCTTGGGTTTGAGAGAGCAAGTGCTCCTGATTTAAACATTGTCCTTCAACTAATGTCCTGTTTGAGCCATAGTCAGGCCTGATGAGTAAGCAAACCAACCCTTTACTAGAGAAGTGACCTGCCAATGACTAGCTCATCTTATCTTTACTTGCATTTTTGACCCTGGAATATTCCACCTGATTCTCAGGGTTATTACTTGACTGTGCTGAGCCCTTTGGTGCAGATGTTGGCTGCCTGCCATTCACTTCTGCACACTTAAACTGACTCTTGCGAAGACTGAGATGCAGAGCAGTCCAAGCACCATTGCAGGTTCCAGTCCATGTAATACAACAGCTCCAGCTCTTTCTGGGCTATTATCTACTAGGATTAAACCCAAAACCTTTGGATTCAATAATCCAAGATCAGGTTCCATGGCTTAACTGCTATAGCAACTTCATTAACCTTTATACGCTAGTGAGAGAAAGAGCCACTCGACACGAATGTAATGAATAGGAGGGGACTATGACATCTGAAGTCTTAGGTCTGGTCTGCACTAAAAATGTAGTTTAACCCAGCTGTGTTACTTACGGATATGAAAAATCCACACCATTGAGCGACATTGTTAAGCTTACTTAACTCTTGGGGAGAAGGATTGCCTACACCAATAGGAGACCCCTTCTGCGAGAGTATGTAGCATACACTGAAGTTCTGCAGCAGTGCAGTTGCTGTAGTGTTACAAGTACAGGGAAGCCTGTGGGCTGGCAAAAGTGACCAAGAAGGTTGGACACTGTGGCTCTGCAACAGCTTTTAGGCAAAGGCAGAATCTCTGCTGCACTGTTCTGTACTCTCCAAATATCTTTCCGTCAGTGTAAACTGGCTCTGGTGCAGTTGCCACTGTTCACCGATCACACTTAGCTGATTGCTATAACAACTGGTCCCTCCAACAGCGCTCACAGAGTAGTCATTGTTCATCTTGATGGCCTTGCCCGTGTCACCATGAAGGACAGTTGCAGGCAATCTCACCACCTCTTCTATTAATTCTGTTTCCTCTCTCCTGTCAGAATCTGGTTGTTGCTGTGAGTGCCGAGGGCTGGTTTAATCTCTTTGACCTGACTCCTCCACCCTCAAAGCATCCAGATGCTTCTGGCCACCAAGAACCTCCAGTGGCAGATGAGCAAAAGCTGGTATTCAGGCAGCACATTCCTGCCAACACCAAGGTCATGCTGATCAATGACATTGGTGAGTATGTGGGATAGAAGGGGGCAGAGCAGGAGCTTATGAAAATGGTGATGGTAAGAGTAGAACAGGCACATGGGGCACAGTGAGGCAGTGCACATACCAGGTCATGAGGGAAGCAGAGGAGAGAACACCTTGGGGCTTTGGGGATGCAGCAGTACACGAGATGTGAGGGAGCTGAGAGGTCTGAGATTTTTCTAAGGTGCCCTTCACTTGGTATCTGAACACTAAGGCTCTCTTGGATCCTGGTACGACTAACACTTATGTTGCTCAGTGCTAAGTGTGCCTGCAGGCAGTGAGACTGTGATGTGTCGAGGGAACCCATTGTTGTCCCCCGATGTCCCCTGCAGATGGAGATGGGAAGTTTGAGCTGGTGGTGGGTTACACGGACCGAGTGGTACGAGCCTTCCGCTGGGAGGACCAGTCTGAGAGCTCTGACCACATCTCTGGCCAGCTGGTGCTGCTGAAGAAGTGGCTGCTGGAGGGACAGGTAGGAAGCAGAAATCCCTAGGGGAGATACGTTGAGTACAGACTTCAGGAGCTGTCTTCCCCCAAAAGGCAGAGCCCTCTAAAGGAAGGGGAGCAAAGCTTCAGTCTTCCAAACAAACGAATCAGTAATGGGAGTCTCAGGAGTGAATTTCCCCAGAGTTTGTGCTGGGTGTGCAGGGCAGCTGACTGATGCAGATGACTGAGTGTCTGATCAGTTGTTTTAACCTTACTGTGCTCTCTGTGAATCCAGGGTTGCCAGCCCTTCAGGATCATCCTGGAGTTTCCAAGAATTAAAGAGTAATCTTTAATTAAAGATTATACCATGTGATGAAACCCCCAGGAATATGTTCATCCAAATTGTCAATCCTATATGAATCCTTTCCCCACCAAAGTGCTTCCTTTCTCTTCTGGGGAAAAAAGATTGCGTTTCCCAACATGAGGCAGGACATGTCATCTCTTGCTGAACTCAGTTCACTGCCTGATGACTTTCTGGAAGAATTGTATCAGAGGGGTAGCCGTGTTAGTCTGAATCTGCAAAAGCAGCGAGGAGTCCTGTGGCACCTTATAGACTAACTGAAGTGTAGGAGCATAAGCTTTCATGGGCAAAGACCCACTTCGTCAGATGCATGTACGAAGTGGATCTTTGCCTACGAAAGCTTATGCTCCTACACTTCAGTTAGTCTATAAGGTGCCACGGGACTTCTCGCCGCTTTTGGAAGAATTGTGTTTCTCCAAAGAGCTGGCTGCCTTGAGTGTGGCAGGGGGCATTCACTGGGAGTTGCCAAAGTATTGGTGGGGGATACATGCACATAGTCCCTTTGGGATGTGTACAACCCTTTCATTAAATCCTCCTTACTTACTGTTCCTGGGCTGGTGCAGGTAGACAGCCTCTCTGTGAACCCGGGCCCTGATGGTGCCCCAGAGATGATGGTGTCCCAGCCAGGCTGTGGCTACGCTATCCTGCTGTGCACCTGGAAGTCAGACCTGCAGCCCCCAGCAGAAGAAGGAGACAGCTCTGCAACCAGCAGGTGGGCATTTGGATCCAATGGCACAGACATAGAGATGCAGTTTTACAGACCTGCCACAAGGAGGCACAGTTGCACCATATCCTGACTTCAGTCAGTCGGCCCCATTGACTTTGCATCCTCCTTGGCTGCCTGAATTCTACCCTGGCCTCTCCCCTGTTCTGGAAGCATGCACATGCTCTAAGCCCCCTTACCTTCCCTCCCCCAAACCCTGGTGTTTCCTGCTTTGCTCTGCCATGGAGCAAACATTCTGGCTACAAGTCTTTTATCCACATAATGCTCCCCGTGTTGTGGGTTGGCATGCAGGGCAAGCAGATGCCATTGGGGTGTGGAGGAAATGGCTTGTGAGATCCCCAAAGGTTTGGGGGAGTGGGTGCTGAGTTGAGGGAAGTGGACGAGAGTCGAGTAAATGCCAAGATGAGGGAAGTGAAGCTTACTGGGGGTCTGATCAATGGGCAGGGAACTAGCAGGAGGCTCAGTCAGGCCTCTGAATCTAAAGGCCCATAGCAGAACTTCGGTGGGTTTTATTATTGTTGTCTGTGCTCCCAGAGGTGTCAAAAGGAGTGTTTTATAAATCAAATTTGGGGAGATTGAGACAGAAAAGCCCCATACGTTCATCCAGACTCTCTCCCTGGGACCAAGGCAGGCTTGCTCCTTCCAGAACCTGTTCTTGTGTCCTACCTAGCTGATTTCCTGAGTGAATAAAAGACAGCCTTATAATATAATAATTTCCCTACTGTTCCAGGTCTCTGGCACTGGTGCACCTCAGATCCTGCTAGCTGCTGCCTGTGGCATATAATAGTCTAGTTTCCTGAGGGCTCTAATACTTTGGCCTCATTTCAGTTGTTAGGTTTAGTGTACTTGCACACTAAACCTAACAACTGGTGCTGGTACAGGAGGTCATGGATAGGGCTGGGAGTGGTGCCTGCGTCCGGGTGGTCTGGAGTCTCTGGCTGCCCTAGAGGTCCCACTGCCCCATGTTTGAGGGCCCCGGTGGCCATTGGGGAGCCGTGGAGGGGAAACCAGGGTGCAGGCAGGGAGGTGGATGGTGGCCCACTCCATGTATGATGCCATGCACTCCTTCACTGAGGTGAGGGTGAAAAACATGGTGGCGTGCTGGTTCACCAGCTTGTCCCAGGTGGCCTTTCTCTGCTCCCAGCCAGCCTGATGCACTTCCTGGTTGGCAGCCCTCTCCTGGTGCTCTTCTTCGAGCCCCTGAACGAGAAACTGCAGGGAGGCCATCTGCTCCTTCATGAGCTGCTTCTGTGTGCATTTCCACTTGTGGATCCCGCTTAGGTGGGTAGATGGCATGGGAGTTGGGGGTTGTGCCAAGCCCAGTTGTGAAGCAGAGTTACAAGGGCAGTCATTACAGGAGACACTGTGTATGAGGCCTAGCCCTAATCTCTGAGCCAGTACCGAAGGTCTCAGTTCATACAGTGACGATGTGCTTTGAGCAAGGCCATCTGTTGCCTAGACAGCAGGCACTTTGCAGCAGGTACACAGATGTCTCAGAGGAGGATCACAACACCCATGGCCTGGGGACAAGCAGGCATGGGAAGGTGCTGGCCAGGCCAGGAGCCTGCAGGCAGAATGACATGGCCTGTTATGTTGAAATAATGGGCTTGGTAGTGTGGATGCTCTGCTTATAAATTTGGCCTTAGGGGGTTTATTTCAAAATAAAATCCTAGTGTAGACCAGGGCTCTCTGACTGAAATATCCCCCAGATGAACTAATCTTGCCTGCCTCGCAGCCCTTCTGGGACAACAAGCAGCTCCCCAAAGTCAGCATGTGTAAAAAATCCTGGCTTTGGGATTCGAGGGCAGAGGCTAGGGAGTCGTTCTGAGATTCTGTCTGTCTGGAATCCCTAACCCTTTCCCCTCTGTCTCACTTCTTCTCCCTAGGGAGGCCCCAGTTCGGGATGTCATCCTTCACCAGACATCTGGCAGGATTCACAACAAGAACGTTTCCACTCACTTAGTTGGCAGCATTGGTCGAGGTAAGAGGCAGAACCTGCAGCAATGCGCAGGGCTGAGACCATGGACTCCGAGATAGCGACTGTGTTAGAGGGTAGGGATATCACATAAAGAAATCCAGCAGAAAACAAGATCCTTAGTATGTGGCCACAAAAACAGAGAAGCCTGGCCCACATTAGCTAGCCCCCAAATTAGGGCTGGCCCTGGGATGTTCAAACAGCTAAACAGTTTGCATTGGGCTTTTCTGTGCAGCTCCCTCCAATGGAGCTGCCCTCATCTCCCACCTAGCGTAGCTTCCTCCCACGCTAGCATTGCCCTGGATGCCTGCTTTGTGCAGCTGGGCCGTGCGCTCTGCTGCACTGCATGTGTCACCCTCATGCCTTCACGTCAGCAGCTTCAATCCTGCACATTGAGTCAGTTCATTTGCCACCCTCATTCCCAAACCCACCTAGTGCTGCTGCGGCACATGTTCCTGCCCTGCCCCATGCAGTCCCAGTCCCACACCTCTGCTCAGCTTTAGCCCACTTTTCCTTTACCCTGCACAGTCCCAGCCCCTTCTGGGGCCATGTCCAGGCTCTAGGCTTTGTGCTGGCTCACCTCCCATTTTGGTCTTTGTAGCTGCCATATTCAAATCTTGGCCAGCTGCAGGCTCCTCTTACCCCCCTTATGTGTAACCATCCCTCACATGCAGCTGCCTGCTCTCCTCTAGCTGCAGGCACTTTCCTGCCTGCCCATGGTCCTGGACTCTTCCTCCTAGACTCCAGCCTAGCAGAGCTGCCCTAGCTTCCCTCCTTTACTCCATAGTTCATGGAGACTGTGATCGAGGAGGCATGAGTTGTCAGTGTAATCCTCTTTCTCTACTGCTTGTTGAGTCTAGTTGTGCTTGCCCTGGGCTGGGGAGAGGGTTATCCCAACCATGCTGTCTGAGGAAGTGTGAGCTGCTTTGTAGAGCTGGAGCAGTGAGGGGGAGCCTCTAAGGTTCCCATTCAACCTGTCACATTCTCCACATTTTAAATGTTGCTCCGAGCGCTGGGAGCACCAGGCCATGGAATCAGTTATTTCTCTGCATATGAAGCCCCAAACCTTGTATTGATTGGTAGAGCTTGCTAGCAAAAGGAGATGTGCAGAACACGGGGAGACAAGGATTCCTGATGTCAGAGCAGTGCCATCTGGTGAGGGCTAAGAGCTAGGCTTTGTACAGAGGGGTCAGGTTTCTCTCAGTACACTTCTGAGCATCCAGCTCTAACTGGCTTTCAGTGTGACTTTACAAACCCCAAGGTGACTGTACATGAGAACATTGCTTACCTGGCACAGTGTTGCCCAAAAGAAAAGGCACAGTGTTGCCCAAAAGAAAATCCTGCCATAAGAACAGAAGAATGGCCATACTGGGTCAAACCGAAGGTCCGTCTAACCCAGTATCCTGTCTTCTGACAGTGTCCAATACCAAGTGCCCCAGAACAAATGACCAGAACAGGTAATCACCAAGTGAGCCATCCCCTGCCACCCATTCCCAGTTTCTGACAAACCGAAGCTTGGGATACCATATCTGCCCATGCTGACTAATAGCCATTGATGGACCTTTCCCCTATAAATTTATCTAACTTTTTTTGAACTCTGTTTTAAGTCTTGGGATTTCACAACATCCTCTGGCAAGGAGTTCCACAGATTAACTGCATTGTTTAAAAAAAGGCTTTTTTGTTTGCTTGATACCTGCTACCAGAGGTGAAAGTAAGTGGGTGTGCCCTGGTACACAGCTATGGCAAGAGCTGAGCTGACTGAGCTAAGCTGTGGCAAAAGCCAGCAGGGAGCTATTTAAAGAGCTGACAGGGATCTGGGTTGCAATAGGACCGTACCTATAAGAAATTGTAAGTTACTTTCACCACTGCCTGCTACCTGTTAATTTGGTGACCCCTTGGTCTTGTGTTACGAGAAGGAGTAAATGACTCTTCTTTAGTCACTTTTTCCACACCAGTCATGATTTTATAGACCTGTCATATTCCCCCTTATAGTTGTCTCTTTTCCAAGCTGATACATCCCAGTTGTCTTAATCTCTCCTCATGTGGCAGCTGTTCTATATCTCTAATAATTTTTGTTGCCCTTTTCGGAGCTTTTTCCAATATCAAGGTATCTTTTTTGAGGTGTGTGTGTGAGACAGAGAGAAGAGCTAGCGAACTCCACTCCATTTCCACAAGGCTGGCCAGCAAAGGCATTGCAGTTTGGCGTCCCAGTCTCTCACAGTGAAGCTGAGTTCTTGTGTAGTCGCTGCGTGGCTGAGGGAAGGGACTGCCCCTCAGCTGCACTGGCTGGCTGTGGGGAAGCTGTATGTCAGCACCTAATCTGGAAGGTTCCCTTACAGCTCACTACGTAGTACTCTAGTCAGCTGGACCCTGCTTCTTAGAAGGCTTTCTGTGTTGTCCCCCTCAGGTCCTCAGGGTCCTCTGGTTTCTCCTGTCACTGTTTTTTCAATGAAATATGGGTCTCATTTCTACATGTAAGCACTCTCCTGCTGCACTAGACACCCAGACAAAACAGAGTTGTGCCAGAGTGGGAAAACCACAAAGCAAAACTGATTAGAAGCAGAGGCCTTCACACTTGCCCTTTGTGTAGACAGTTGCTCTTCTGTAAAGAAGACACGAAACCTCAGTTGCTAGGCAATTGCACTCACTTTCCTCCCTGTGCACAATAGGTAGCTTTGCAATTACCCTGGTTAGATCCATGAGATAAGTTGTGAGCCACAGAAGGAAAGTGACTGAGTCGAAGTGGGCATTGTTATCAAACTGTGCTGAATGTCCTCTCTAGATGGGAGGCAGGGTAAAGATAGCTAAAGTGGCTGGTATAATCCCAACAGCAGAGCTGGTTTCAAGAGTACATCAACACCACAAAACAAAACAAAAAACCCAACACCACAGGAGCAAGTCTTAGATCCCAGATCAGATAACTTGGGCTCACATTATGGGGCTAAAAATAGACATGTAGATATTTAAGCTCAGGTTGGAGTGTAGCCTCCGAGACCCTCTCCCCTCATCGAGCATGAGCTAGAGTCTAGGCTCTGAAGCTCAAACATCTACCTGTCTATTTTAAGCACTGTAGTTCAAACCGTGCAAGCCTGAGTCTGTTGATCCAGGCTCTGAGTCTTACTCCTGCAAATCTTTTTTTACTGTGTAGTTGTATCCCAAGGGACCCCACTCAGTTACAGTATTTAACAGTGCCACTCTGTGGCTACCGTCAGCTATGTTCCTTGGAGAGACATATGCCCCTTTTCATGCTGCCCTCTTGGTACTGTCATATAAAAATACAATTTTTGCCTGGCCTGCAGACCTTGGGAATGGTGCTGTGTTTGCCTTTGTGTATCATGAAGGATTGCCTCATAGCACTTGCTCATGGGCACAGTATGTGAAAGCCACTTTGTGTTTGTGTTCCCATATAGACAGCTGTTCCTCTTCCATCTTGTGGAGTTTGCCACATGCCCCCAGCAGCAGCACCAGGCTGTGTTCAAGGGCAGGGAGTCAGATGTAGCTGCGTAGCCTCTCCTGCTCCACAGTGGAGTTGCTACCTGCACTTGTGCATTTCTGGAGAAGTGGGGGCTATAAGAGAGACAATTAAACCACAGGCTCCTATGGGCATGCAGCTGTCACTCCCATTACGTGGGGAATCCCAGGGAGCCAAATCAGCCAGTCCCACTTGTGTGTAAGCTCCTGTTTAAAATTCATCGGTTGGTAATGACCAGGAGTGCCCCACAGGGGAAGGAAAGTGATGTGGCTGGCAGAAAATAGGATAGTATCAAGATGGTGAAAGTATGGTAAATAACCACTAGGCAGAGTTTCAAGGCTGAGCAGAAATCTCTCCTAACATTTCAGGCTTGATTCCTTCAGTCATTCCTGCAACACCCAATTGCTATTTCCCCTCCCTGTCCCTGTCCCTGTCCAAAGCTCGTATTGTACATCCACCACTTGAGTCCTTATTTACATAAGCTTCAGGAGGTAGCCGAGTTAGTCTGTACAGGATAAACTTAAAAAACCAACAAATCGTTTGGTAGCACTTTAAAGACTAACAAAACATGTAGATGGTATCATGAGCTTTCGTGGGCACAGCCCACTTCTTTAGATGACCAGAGTGTTGGATGTCCAGGACCAAAATAAATAGGGGATGAGGAGAGGGGGACAAGAAGAGGCAGTGGGTAAAAAATATATCAAGGGGAAAGCCATACTGGAATGTAATAGGAAAAACAAATAGTTTATAAGTACATAAAGGCTGAATAGTCAAAAGAGACAGTTAAGAACTATTAATTAGCAAGCAACAAATGGTCAGGTAGCACTTAAAGACTGACAAAACATGTAGATGGGATCATAATGAGATTCTCATAGACATAGTTAGTGAGAGCAAAGTCAGACTCACAGTTGTTAGCTTGATGCTGGCCCTTAAATTCAAGGGCAGTCACCAGCTCAAGTTGTTCTGTCACAGTTCAGGGGAAAGTCAAGCTGGACTCTCTGGGTCGAGAGCACCATCAGTGTCCCTTCTGTGGGCTTTAGGTAGCAGTGCCAGATGAAGGGGGTGGAGCCTCTATCCCTAGCATGTTAAAAGCTTCTTCCTGGAATTGCTGCTGTCACAGAGCCCTTGAGTGGGAGAGAAATCAGAAGGGGAGAGCCTTGCGACCTGTGGCTAGGAGTGGGAAGGACTATGTTTAAGACCAGATTAAAATATTGGCCAAGCCCAGGAAGAGGAAGCAGAAAGGAGGGGTGCAGAAGACTAGAAACAGCAACAAGGGCCACTAGCTTGGGAGGGTAGATTCACTGAACTGCTTCTGTGCCCCTTTTCCCTTTCAGCTCGTCCTCTCCCTCCAAACATTCAGACATGACTATATCACAGTGACCCACCCCTCCAGGAGAGCAAGGGAAGCAGACTCCTCTGGCTTGCCACATGCTGCCTCACCATAGCCCTAGTGCACCATGTAGAGAGAGAGAAGGAGACGGGAGTGGTGGACAGATGGATAGTGAGAGGTTATGGAGGCTACAGCTCAATCTCACTGCTGAGATCGGGGCTAGATCGACTGCACCATGAGCAACATGTGCTTCTGTTCTGTGTCCGCAGGTTGCACTAAAACAGATGCTGGCTCAGGCCTCTTTGCGCTCTGCACTCTGGATGGTAAGTCCCACTGCTGCCCTTGGGTCGAGAGACAAGGAAGGAAAGGATTGACACCCGTTACCTATCTGGAGTAGGGCTATAGGGGTTTTTCTAAGACTACACCAGAGGCTCAGTGCTACTGGATTTGAGATGGGATAGAATCAGGCCTCTGAAGTACCAGTAGAGCAGTGATTCTCAGACCGAGGCTCAAGAGTTGCAAGCACTCATATCTCCTGTGGGATTGAATTATTCATCAGGATGCTTTTATGATGTTATTGACCTTTTAAGTTATCAGCTTGTGCTAAGTTATTAATTTATTTGCTGTGAGAACAATATAAACTAAGTATTTCCCTGTCATACTCTTTAAATGTAAGTAGTCCTATTGAATTGACAGAATAAATTCACTCAACTGTGGCTCATTTGGATAGTGCTTGCTAAT